AAAAGGAAAAAAATAAGTGAATATTGAATATTTTTTCCCAACTTCACAGGAACAGAAGTGACACTTAGGTTTGTAACCAATTTCAAAAATCACACAAAAAATCCCTTGAAAAATGAAGTCTGCGATCATGATGATTTCCCGGAGGTAAGCAGAGGGGTGAAGGGGGTGGGAGCGGGTGATGGGGTGGGGGGTAAGGAATAAGAGAGGATGGGGGAAAAATGGCCATAACTCAGGGTGTAGCCAGGAACTGTGAAATAAGATGGATATTTTTATCTGCGTGTTGCCCATCACCTACGCTACGGCGCCTCCCTCCTTCTCCTCCGTGCAAGAGCCAGGTGACGTGAAGCCCTCAGAATCCTCGCCTAAATCACGTGGCTTTTTTATACGTTAATCAAGAACGTCTTAGATAACATCAATCACTTATTACAAGAACATCAATCACAAAGGAATTTAACTAAAACTAAAATAAATCAAGAAGCCTCCCAGTGTGACGTAGTTTCCAGTTGAATACTTTTAATGGAATTGAATAATGAAGATTATCTGTACCTTCGCTCACCCAAGGACTATCACAGTATCACATGGCAGTAGGTCAACCACCGCTTCACATGCTGTTGAACGGTCTCCAGTGACGACGGCGATCAGCTGGAGTGAAGCGGAGTCAGGGTGGGAGAAGATCTAGCAGAACGAGGGAGGACACACACGCACACTGGCCGTTGCCCTTGTGGACTTCAGGAAGGCCTTTGACCTTGTTGATCACTGCACTGTTATCAACAAGGCTATTGCACTAGGGCTGCCCACCAACCTGGTCTCATGGCTCACTGATTTCTTGAGTGGACGTCGCCAAGCAGTGAGGTATCAGGGCTTGGTCTCTACATTCCAACACCTCACCTGCGGGATCAACGACGCTCTATCGGACACTCCTCACAGGTGGAAGTACGTGGATGACTACACTGTGGGGGTTTCAGTGGACAACACCGCACCAGACTACTAATCGCTCCAAGGTACACTGGACAGGCTACAGGCATGGACTACGGAGAACAAGGTCACCATCAACCACACCAAAACCGTAGTCATGCACATCAATACCGCCACCACTCCAGTGCAAGCCCCAGCAGTCACAGTGGGTGCCCATCATCTCCAGCTGGTGCAGTCTGCCAAACTCCTGGGTGTAACTATAGACAACAAACTTGACTGGAAGGCCCATGTAAATAACACAGTCAAGGCAGCCTCGTACCGTCTCTACATACTACGAAGACTTAGGTCACTTGGGACACCCACGCCAGAGCTGAGGACCATCTACAACGCCTTTATTCTCCCCAAACTAACGTATGCGTGACCAGCCTGGTCGTCTTCTCTCAACTCCACCCAACAACGTCAGCTATAGAAGGTACAGAAAAGGGCCTGCAGAATCATGCTCGGAGCAGAATACTCAGGCTACACCAACGCTCTATCCACCCTGGAAATGCCATCCCTCAGTGACCTCCACCACCAAGCGCTGGAAAGGTTTGGCCGTGGACTACTGCACCACCCACGCCATCGCCACCTCCTGCCACCTGCAGCCCCCCACCCAACACGCGCAGTCCGCCACTACAACATAATTCAGCCCATAAGAGCCCGCACCGATAGATATAAGAACAGCACCATCCCATCTATTGTTAAAATAATAAACAACTCCTGATTTATGTACTGTACAGCCCTGTAAATGTATTCAATGCATATTATATCATTATGTCTAAATCAAATGTATGTCTGTATATTTTCAGCCACCGGCTGCAACTCTATTAATAAACCGTTTATTATTATTATTATTATTATTATTACACACACACACACACACACACACACACACACACACACACACACACACACTGAGCTAAACTAGAGGCAATAGGTTAAAGACAGCATCACGTGATCCCGTCAACAAAACACACGAAATAAATTTTGATCTTCTAGAATGTGGAGACGGAAGAACGCGAGAAGAGGAACCGTGAGTCACTCCTGGACACTGACAGCAGCGGGATGTGTCACCCCTGGCAGTGTTCAGATATTGGTTGTAATGCAGGCCACACTCCTGCAGGCCTCTTGGAACACTACCTGCAGTATTTAAAACCTTCAAAATGCAGACCAAGAAACATTTTCCCCTCAATTTCTTCTTACTTATCTCGTAAATATAATAACGTCGCTTTATAGTATTCCTTCTTAGTAGCGATGACGACCTCCTGATTATGTGACCAAAACATAATCAGAATTAAACTAATCATTTATCGCGGACATATTGTTAAACGCTGTTCGTCCAGTTTCTTCTTTCTCCTCATCTATTTGTGTGTTATTATATGTCTGTACAGTATAGTGAGGGCTGGTGTAGTCATGTTGTTTTCACGAGAGTAGTGTGTTTATGCTGTGTAATACATCATGATCTGAGGTTCATTCGATACATTACCCAAATCTCCATAGTTAACAATACTAATTCAATAATGACATCATCATTATTATTATTATTATTATTATTATTATTATTATTATTATTATTATTATTATTATCGTAATTACTATAAAAAACTTGCTCCTACCAAAAAGATCTCACAGCACACCACCTCACCACCACACCTGACTACTACACCTCTGTCCAGTTAACACCATAATCGACGCTACAATGGCCGCCACACAGCATATTAACCACGGCGACAGAGTGTCTTTACTGCCGTCCACGCGGTGTCTCTGTGAGCTACCTTACCGCTACTACACTCACTCAACGAAGAGAACTGGTGGAAGTGAGGAGGTTTTTTTTTTTTTACGGGAATTAGTCCACCCGGGCACAGGTCAAACGACCCACAACGGGGCCTGGGAGAATAGAGTAGGGTGTGAAGAAGTATTGGAGAAAGGGAGGAAAGAGTATGGGGAAGTAGGCAGAGACTGGGAGGGAGCGAGGGAGGGAGAATGGGTGAGAAACAATAGGGGTGTGTGTGTGGGGGAGATAACAGAGAGAATAATGGAGGTACAGGAGAGAGACGGTAGAGATGAGGATGAACCTAAATTAGGAAGGAATTACATGTATGATTAAACAGTGAAGATGAGGATGGTGCAACAGATGATGGGGAGACGGGAGAATATGGGAGAAGGTGATCATGGGGAAAGGGAGAAATTATGGGGGATGGGGATGATTATTGGGATAGAGGGAGATTATGGGGATGGGGAGAAATTATGGGGGCAGGGGCAGAGATTATGGGACAAGGGGGTTATTATGGAGGGCAAGGATGAGACTATAAGGGCAGGGGGAGATAATGGGGGCAGGGGAGATATTATGGGAAATTAGGAAATTATGGAGAAAGGAGATTATTGAGAAGTGAAACCTTAGCCATGGGAATGGGGTTTACAGCTAGACTAGGAGAGCAAGACCGAAGCTTGACCGGAGACGAGTACATGCGATAGGTTCTCAGGTCCAGGAGGCGTGGTGCCACGGCTGGCTGCTGGCTCTTGAAGCGTGCGGCCCCTGCTTACATACTGTGGTTAAGGAGGGAAGCAGGGAGACAATGAGTGAGGGAGGGAGGGAGGAATCAGGAAGGTAGAAAGGGAGGGAAGCGTCTCTGGAGAGAGAGAGAGAGAGAGAGAGAGAGAGAGAGAGAGAGAGAGAGAGAGCAATATATCTGACATAAATACCTCTGAGCTCCCTATCCTCCACATTCATAGCTACCTCAAACAATATCTACAACGAAGTTTGAAACAAACTTCTTTGAGAGACTAAAACTTTTTCTCTTATAGGGAACAATGTAAACACAAAGCATTAAATATTAAACGTTAAAGACTTATTAAAACTTTCTGGCAACAAAAGAAAAGTTTTGTTCTCAGGAAAAATTAAAAATTTTTTTTTTTTTCATATGTGTGTGTATATATATATATATATATATATATATATATATATATATATATATATATATATATATATATATATATATATATATATATACAGTAAGAGGACAACTGGCTTATATACATCTAAGTAAAATACTACTACTACTACTACTACTAATAATAATAATAATAACAATGAACATGATCTACAGTACATAAAAATAAAACCGAAATAATAAAAAAACAGGATTTAAAAACAAAACAAACACCAGAGTCAGGCCTACAAGCACTGTTAAGCTCGGTATATTATTAGAAGAGACAAGACAACAACAAAAAAGCGTGGAGTTGTGTTGGCTGCCAACATACCCCTGGCAGGTTACGTTACCATCCCACCGCTGCCACCAGTATGACGGTACCTCGCCACTCTGCGCCCTGCTCCGCCCTAGGGACCCTCAGGCTAAGACACCATTAACTATTTAACCTGAGATCCTTAACTGTACACCACCTAACAAAGGACCTTCTAACTTTGCCCCTTGAGTAGGACCCTCTAGTAAGCAACCTTTAACTTACTACCTTCATATTTGGAATGCTGACCTATGTCTGAATAAGTCGACCTGACATTAAACTCTGGGTCACACAACTACAATTCTATGTAATTACGGTGATGCAAAGTATTAAAAAAATCAGCTCAAGGTTACTGGGTACTGAGAAGAGAACATACAATGCAGAGAATGCTAAAAGGAGGCAGAGAATGTTAGGAGGAAGAGTATGTTAGGAGGAAGAAGAGAATGTTAGAAGGAGGAAATGATGTTAGGATGAGGAGGAGAAAGTTAAAAGGTGGAAGAGAATGTTAGGAGGAGGAGTAGGATGAAGAAGAGAATGTTAGGAGGAGGAGGAGGAGAATGTTAAGAGGAGGAGGAGGGAAATAATGTTAGGAAGAGGAAGAGAATGTTAGAAGGAGGAAGAAATGGTAGGAGGATGAAAAGAATGTTAGGAGGGGGAAGAGAATGTTAGGAGGAGGAAAAGAATGTTAGGAGGAGGAAGAATAAACGAAGCTCCACACATACATTCTCTGAATATTAACCATCATGCACCGCGGCTTCTTGAGTAACACTGCTTGTACACTTGCTTGATTCCTGAATGACCCAAACCTTGTGGCAGTGACTTGAAACCACGACGAGTTGTGGTGCGAACCTGAACCTGTGACTTGAAGGCCTTGTGGCTACATCTCTGAGTAACCGCAGAGTCTAGTGGTTGTGACCCTGAATCTAATCCATTACCTTTAGACCCTGAGAAAAAGCTTCTATAAATGCGAGAAAACGTGTTTGGTTACCTGAAATTATCTACAGATGGTACGGGAGGCTTTTCTCTAACTATGAAGCCCGTCCTGCAGTCAAAATTCCCGGGAAGTGACCGGATGAACCAAGCTGATCTAGCCTTCAGACCACGAAGGGTATATCCATTACAGGCAAATTTATAAAGAATATTTTGACCTCTTGAACCGCTGTAGTTACCTTTAACACTACTGCATTAATAAAAGATTGTCACATCTTGGATTTATTATATATATTGTACTTTAATTAATTATTCATTAACGCTATAATTAACAACTTGCTAAAATAATCTGAAAGAAATCTTGAATCAACATTCCCCTATGACAAGGTAAAGGATTCCTATTCCACACTAACTCCTCAGTATGGCATTTCAAAATAATCGATTAAAACTTTCAACCATTGTATCCACGCACTTACGTAAATAAGTACATCACAGCTTAAAACAAAGTCGCATCGTGGAAAGTACCTCAACCCAGACAGTGTCGGGTGATTTCCACAGTTAGGCACCATTAAAATGATTGCCGTGATCGCGAACAAGTGACCGGAATTCCGCTTTAGGGTGGAACAGAGACTGAAGTGGAAGTTGAGAAGTTGGGCACCAAGTTCCCCGGTAAAACGAAGCAGACTGCCGGGCAAGCAGGCAGCAGAGAGACGCAGAAAAGCAAGGAGACAGGAAAGCAGACATCCAAGCAAGCAAACAGGCAGGCAAAAAGGCAAGAAAGCAAACAAGCAAGGAGAAAGGCAACTAGATAAACAAAAGGTTAAAACTTCAAGTATAGAAACAGAGAAACACACAGGCAGGCAAGAAGGCAGAGGAGCAAGCTGGAAGGTAAACAATCAAAGAGAAAGGCAGGCGGGATAAGGCAGGGTGGCAGGCAGGCAGGCAACCATCTAGACTGGCGGGCGATGGAGGCAGTGTTTGGGGAGTTTCTGCAAAGTTGGTCATCATTTGAAGGGACCAGATGGTGCAAGTGGAGTGGTGGGAGGACTCAAGTATGTTGTGTTTTAAGTAGACTGCATTGTACTATAAGGGACGGTGAAGTAGTATAAGTGTACTGAGCTGTACTATAAAGAATGGTGAGGTAGTATAAGTGTACTGAGCTGTACTATAAGGGATGGTGAAATAGTATAAGTGTACTGAGCTGTACTATAAAGAATGGTGAAGTATTATAAGTGTATTGAGCTGTGCTATAAGAGATGGTGAAGTAGTATAAGTGTACTGAGCTGTACTATAAGAGGTGGTGAAGTAGTATAAGTGTACTGAGCTGTACTATAAGAGGTGATGAAGTAGTATAAGTGTACTGAGCTGTACGATAAGGGATGGTGGAGTAGTATAAGTGTACTGAGCTGTACTATAAGGGATGGTGAAGGAGTATAAGTGTACTGAGCTGTACTATAAGGGATGGTGAAGTAGTATAAGTATACTGCACTGTACTACAAGGGATGATGAATTATCAATACGTTGGATTTTGTCTATTTTAACTTTATTTTTTATGGGGGGGGGGCCTCTGCTAGGGAGTTTGAGACCCACCGACATACCAGTTAAATCTTTGGTATGGTTTATATGGTGATAAAATTAATGACTGTTTATGTTAAAGTACTTCAACACCCAGAGAATTGTTTCATAATAACTTTGCTTATTTCCACACACACACACACACACACACACACACACACACACACACACACACACACACACACACACACTACTACTACTACTACTACTACTTTGCTGTCACTTGGAATCGAGTATGACGATCATCCAGCTATGATACAATGATATGAGTTATTCAGGATGTCACCTAGGTTGGTGAGTTTTGAGGTGACTAAAGTGGCCGATACGGGACCTGAAGCGTCGCCCACATTCGTTGCACATATGGGGGGCTGCATCTACTGCGGGAGGGGCGGTGGCAGCGTCATTCCGACGTTGGCACTTGTCTGCCTCGGTTTGCAGTCGGGTGTTACGATGTGGAGTAATCGTCTCCTAGGTGAGGGGGTCGATTTGGCACTTTTTCAGGTACACACACACACACACACAAAAGAAAAAAAAAGAACACCAACTTACATATGAAATCATTTGACACTCACGTTTGATATGATATTTAAATACAACAATTACATACCATGGTAGTCACTACAGAGATGTCCATTCCTTCACATTTTGCAAGATACTGTGATTTATTTCTAAATATATGCTGAGGTCTTTAAAGTAGTGTAGTTCAGTTACTTAAGGGAGCACTAAGTTATATTATCTCGGATGTGAGCGAAAGGTACTGAAAAAGAAGTTAAAAATGCAAAAGTTTCTCCGGGCAAAGGTTCCCTCTCCCCACTTCCCAAACTTTCTCCCCAGGAGCCTCACGCCAGGATGTATGTTCAGCATATGTAATTGGTCAATAATTCAACTTCATGCGCATAAGTGTTTCCCAGTGGTGCTAAGGCCAGTGTAAGTCTATTTATCTAATGAAAATTCTGCGTTTCTTTTCAATCTTTTTGTACATTTTGGGAATATGTTTATCGATGATCTATTTTTTTAAACAGTTTAGATCCTCCTTTGTAAACTGAAGTCTTTCTATGCAGTTTTTAATCTCTCAAGAATGTTTTCTGAATGGATACGCTTCCTCCACAATATATTTACTGCCCGCACCAGCAGCTTTTTTTATTATTATTTTTTTTTTAAAGATGGAGTTCCGGGAGTCAGCCTGGGAGTGCAGTGCGTGGCCACACTTTAACTGGCGGGTCTTCTCGGAGGCCGATTGAGCATTAATAACATCTGCTATATGAAATGTAAGAGAAACCTGAACAATGAGGAAAAAATCATCTCGAGAATTATTTAATCGATCACCATTTTTTTTTATCCCTCGATAGTTTTTGTCATGGTCCAGAAATACCCTATCCTTATTCCTAAGACCAATATTCTGAGTCTATGAATGCCAAAAAATATATTTTCTTTACCTTTACTCGAATTCCTTATTTTCCTCACTTGTATTTCTAGTTTGAGTCCAACATATTCTATTTCACCTTTGCGATTCACATTTCTTTGAATATTTTGGAATGTTGAAGTAAATACAAAGTGAGGCTGATGTGTTAGCCTAAAGATGTTTAAAGTGTACAACATACTTCAAAAATTACTGTTAAATAGTATAAAGCAATGTTAAACTACACAAAGATTGTTAATCAGGCATAACTTAACTAACTACAGTATAAAGAGCCTGCAACATAATGAAGGTTCGTCGCCATATAAAGTGTAATTTCATACACTCTTAAACATAAAAACAATGATCAAGATTTTTCGCCACGTTGCGTGAAGAAGTGGAGTACAACTTACATATACGAGTAAAGGAGGGAACAGGAGGAGGGTGAGGGAGGTAAGGGAAGGTAGATAGAAGGAGGGAAGGGGAGGGGATTGTAGGAGAGGAGGGAGGAAGGTGGTGGAGGGAAGGAGAGGTGGAAGAGTGGCAAGAGAGTAGAGTGAGGGGGGAAGGGGAGGAGGGTAAAGGACGGAAAGGGAGGAGGGTAAAGAAGGGAAGGGGAGGAGGGTAAATGAGGGAAGAGAGGAGAGTGAAGGAGGGAAGGGCAGGAGTGTGAAGAGAGGCAAGGGAGGGTAGACCATGGGTATAAGGGGGGAAATTTAAGAGATGATAGAGAGATGCATTGCTCCTCCGTCTGTCACGCACCGTAACCACCCTCCACGGAGACATCAACCATTTTCCCACACTCTGATTCATCAGTACGTTAGCGTAATCATAGTGTACAGTTCCTTGGTCAGAGAGAGAGAGAGAGAGAGAGAGAGAGAGAGAGAGAGAGAGAGAGAGAGAGAGAGACGTCCCCAGTTATATGTGTCTTTACTGTGTTCATGTCTGTTACTACTACTACTACTACTTTTTTTAACGTGGCCTCCAGCCTTCCCTAATAATCACACCTTCGCCGCCATTTTATTACCTTAAAATTAAATATCCTGATACAAAAGTAGCTACCCTAGCTGTGTTGAGTTAGTTGAGCCACAGATCTACGTGGCATTCGGTGACTGTTACCTCAAAGTCACTATCTGCGACAGTTGTCGGCTTTGGGGTTGAAGATCTCGTTCCCTGAGAAAAAAAAATGCAGACCTAAGCAGAGAAAAGGGCAGTCGACATCTCAAAAAGGCTGCAACGTATCTTCCGGCTGCTGCATCTGTTTGGATAACACCTCGGCCAGTCTTGCATAGAAAAATCTTGCACTTGGTCTCATCCCGCCAGAGGTTGTGAACACCAGAGGAGTGAAGTTGCCTTGATCAAGATTTTGAATTCTCACCCCCATATGCCCTGTTCTTGTCATTCTCGTTCCTCTTGTGTGCAGCATCAAGAGCTCGGTTACAGTAACATGCGGCCATGGAGTTGAAATTCCTTATGTCAAAGAAGGCTGGCTGTCCCTGCGTCCAGAATCCTCGAGCACTGACGTCCACATGGGCTTCGTTGGATGTGTTTGAAGATTCTCAACGCCCAATAGAAGGATGGTCAGTTCCACCACGCCATCATGGCAGAATTCCTTCAAAATATTTGCTGTGAGATCCCTTACTTCATCATGCCACATGCATACGAAGCTCCCTTTCTTGCAAACCATGGCGTGATCGATGTCATAAGAAGAGCCACACACACTTTGGGAGGGCAAACTTTCTACTGGCCTACCATACCTTAAAGCAATGGCATCTGTAAATTCTTATTTATTAAGGCTGAAGCCTTTTACCCTTATCAGTAACATTGTTAGCCAGTTCGAGGCGCCCACCTCCTGCGCTATTGCTACTTTTCTTTTCAAGTTCTCTGGCACTTGCAGCATCAGTTGTTGCAGTTTATCACTTTGGTTGTGCTGTCGTTCTGTTGCAATGGACCGTCGAATCTTGTTTAATTCGTTGATACCCACCTGACTTGCTGTATTCTGAGATATTGTGTGCTCAGTGAGGGCTGCCGTAAGCTTAATTTTTAATTTTTTTTTTTTTTACAGGGATTAGCCCACCCGAGCACAGGTCACTTACCCACATTAGGGCCTATGGGGTGACTACTACTACTACCATTGTTACGACAATTACTACTACAACTACTACTCCTACTATTACTACCACTACTACTACTACTGCTGCTACTGACGGGCGGACACATTCTTGCTACTAGAGGGACGTAAATTTGAATCTCTCCTCCAGATGGTAAGAAAAGTGAGCAGTAATACAGAAAACGCTGACACTCACCCAACATCTGCTAATTCGATGATAATAATAATAAAAATGATGAAAAGTAAACATTGCACGACTCTTAATGAGCGGTGGAGAGGGGAGAGCGGGTGGAAAGGGGTGGGAGGGGTGCTGGCAGGGGTGGGAGAGGGGGGCAACGCTCCGTGACGTGAGAATGTAATCTTAGAATTGCCACCTTGTTCGTGGAGAAAGACGCGGTGGACCTCAAGCAATACACCCAGTTGACATCTGATAGACACCTACTGTGTGTGTGTGTGTGTGTGTGTGTGTGTGTGTGTGTGTGTGTGTGTGTGTGTGGCGCGTGCTGTTCCTCACTTTCCAACTCCCATTTATTCGTGTCCTAGTATAATATATATTCTTACCTGTCAACACCTGAGTCTCATTACCTTGATGATGTCTTGAAATTTATCAATAAAAAAAAAATTCTCTCAACTTCACTTCCCTGTTCCCTGGTTCTCGTTACTCTCTTCAACTTTAGATTTTGATATTTTATTTGTTGTGAAAATCGTACGTATCATCTTTTATAACAGGTAACTCGGACAAAACTAACCTAACCTAACCTAACCTAATCTAACCTAACCTAACCTAACCTAATCTAATATAATCTAACCTAACCTACAACTCCCGTACTGCAAGTTACCCTACCCTACTAACGAAAATTAACTTAACCTAACTTAATCTAACTTTACCTAATCTAACCTTACTTATATATTTCAGTTACACTAGATTAATTTTAGTAAACAAGGTTGGTTATAGTAAGTTCGTCTTGATTGTTTTATAAGAAGTGCAAATACGGTTAAGACTGCCATGTCCCAGTGAAGCTACGATTCCCCCTTATGAACACACACACACACACACACACACACACACACACACACACACACACACACACACACACAAAAGAGAGAGACACAGATTCACTCACATACCGCTCGTTTTAAAGCCTTGTTTTTCTGACGTGAATATGTACTCGACTCAAGTAAATACACATTAATTATGGCAATGACTCTGGGGCAAATGTATGTTAAAAATACGGGTCAGTAATTTAGTTGTTGACAAACGCTCTGTTCATAGTTGGGCAAACAATAGTGGGTACTGTATGGCCTAACGAGAGCTACAGTAATGACAACAAGAGTAACACAGTAAGAGTGATAACAAGAGTAATGAGAGCAAGAGTAACATGACAAGAGTAACGTAGCAAGAGTAACGGAAGCAAGAGTAACACAGTAAGAGTGATAACAAGAGTAATGACAGCAAGAGTAACATGACAAGAGTAACGTAGCAAGAGTAACGGCAGCAAGAGCAACACAAGTAAGAGTAGCAAGCAGAGTAACACAGTAAGAGTAACGTAAGAGTAACACAGCAAGAGTAGTGTAACACAGTAAGAGTAACATGACAAGAGTAACGTAGCAAGAGTAACGGCAGCAAGAGTAACACAGTAAGAGTGATAACAAGAGTAATGAGAGCAAGAGTAACATGACAAGAGTAACGTAGCAAGAGTAACGGTAGCAAGAGTAACACAGTAAGAGTGATAACAAGAGTAATGACAGCAAGAGTAACATGACAAGAGTAACGTAGCAAGAGTAACGGCAGCAAGAGCAACACAATAAGAGTAACATAGCAAGAATATCAAGAGTAACACAGTAAGAGCAACACAATAAGAGTAACACAGCAAGAGTAACAAAGTAAGAGAAACAAGACAAAGAGTAACACAGTAAGAGTAACATAGTAACAGTAACACAGCAAAAGTAATGACAGCAAGAATGGCAGCAGTAACAACAACAACAAAGGTGTATATATCAATCACCACACTAAAAGAAATGAGCCGAAAAAGCAGCATGAAGCAACAACACTAAAAAGTATCAGTAGCAACAATAACACAAGTAGCAGCAGCAACAAACACACGAACACTACAAAGAACAACAGTAATAAGATCACCAATAGTAATAACAGGAACAACAATAACAGTAATGACAACATGCAACAGCACGAGGAGGATGACAGTGTGTGAGTGAGCATGAGAGAGAGAAGTACAGTCCACACAGGAGGTGGGAGGGGAGGAAGTGGGCCCCTAACTCATAAGATTAAACACATTACCTCAATGATTTCGGCTTGAGAGAGAGAGAGAGAGAGAGAGAGTGTGTGTGTGTGTGTGTGTGTGTGTGTGTGTGTGTGTGTGTGTGTGTGTGTGTGTGTGTGTGTGTGTTATTTAGCACTCTCGAAATCTACCTTCTTTCTCTCTACCTGTTAACGTAATCAAAAGGTAAGTTCGACCAATAGTGAATACAGGAGCGCTCAATTAAAATATTCAAGACACTCGTAAAAGTTCTTAATGTCACAATTTACATATGCGTGACAGCTGCGAGAACAAGAAAGTAAGGTAAAAAATGCTCATGATGTTGTTATTAGTGCAACAGGAGGCGGCACGTGCTCCTTCCTGACCTTTACCCGGCAACAGCAGCTGAGCCCCGACCCCTTCACCTCACCTCACACTGTAACAAGACCCTCCACAGCCTGTAATATTGTATACCGCCAAAGTTTCTTTCGTGAGTACTAATTTTATTACAAATTATAATCAATTTGTTTCCTTATATATGGTGAACTAAGAGCTAAAGAAAATGTCCAATTATTTACACTCTTCTAATATTATAAATGAAGTCGTAATAATCGCCAGAAAAAATGAGATACACAACACAGACTCTACCTCTGCACAACCCATCTTAACATTATTCAAGTTCACCCTCAGCCCCGAGACCTCCCCGGCCGTGAGTGCGCCCCTGTCCCTCAAGTATGGTTTGTGAATCCCTCTTTAATCCAGCTTAATCCATCCTGATCACCAGCAAGTGTGCGAGTGGCAGCCAACAAGGCTTAACAGTCTTAACCGGGCTCGTAGATATCCCTCACACACTCGTTTGTGCGAAAAATCAAAACTTTTGCTGTTCCTTTATACAGTATATTATTACTAGTTCCAGATGACATAAGAGCCCCAAGCCTCCGTAAATAACTGAGATTCGGTCTAACTCGTCTTAATAATTCCATCTTCATCTGGATGGGAGTTATTGAAAGTATGTTTTTCCCCGAAGGTGTGTGAAGTTTTTGGTCGCCGTCTGTGTGGCTTGTTTGGTCTACTGAAGTGCTTCCTTCGTGGAGTTGCTGGTGATGGAGATATATTGCATGTGAGGGATCACTTATACTCTCCTCCCACGGCCGCCCACCACTCCCTTTATCATCACACACTCGCCCACACTACTCACTACTACTATAATACACTCCTACACCCACGGGGCCTCACACCCATACTCTCCCACACCCACGGGGCCTCACACCCATACTCTCCCACACCCATAGGGCCTCACACCCATACTCTCCCACACCCACGGGGCCTCACACCCATACTCTCCCACACCCACGGGGCCTCACTATACTCTCCCACACTGAGGGCCTCACACCCATACTCCCACACCCAGGGCCTCACACACCCACTCTCTCCACACCCACACACCCACACACACCCCCCACACTCCCACAGGCCTCCCACCTCACACCCTCTCCCACACCCACAGGGCCTCACACCATCTTTCCCACCCCACAGGGCCCTCACACCCATACTCTCCTCACACTCCCACACAGGGCCTCACACCCATACTCTCCACCCACACCACAGGGCCTCACACCCATACTCTCTCACACCCACAGGGCCTCACACCCCTCCTCTCCCACACCCACAGGGCCTCACACCCATACTTTCCCACACACACAGGGCCTCACACCCATACTCTCCCACACCCACGGGGCCTCACACCCATACTTTCCCACACCCACGGGGCCTCCCACCCATACTCTCTCACACCCACGGGGCCTCACACCCATACTCTCTCCTCACCAACACCGCTATCAACACTCCTTAGCTAGACACTACAGTACTTTACTACTTCGGTTCCCACAGGCTGCGTCTATTCCCTGGCAAAAGTCTTCACACACACACATACGCCCATTCGACCAACACCTCCCTCTCAGCCCCCCTCTTGTATGCAGCGGCTTCACTACACAATAACCTTCCTTCCATCAAACACCCGTTGTTCAGTACTCCGTGAACAAGGGATTATCTCGGAATTTCTCTTAATAGTAAATAATTAAGAAGTTTGACA